TGCTCTAATAAATTTGTTAGTCTCTAAGGTGCCACAAGTTCTCCTGTTCTTCTTTTTGCGGATACAGACTAACATGGCTGCTACTCTGAAACAGATAAATCAGCTATCCTTAATATTGGCTGTTAAGAGTGGCCAGTTTGTACAGTAGGGGTCTGTTATTGCTAGTCAATGGTAGAGAAACACAGGAGATACGGAGCGGTCTTAAATTTTCTTTTAAAGATTTTTCTCCCTGCAGCAAAGAAAATAAGTTACCAAGGAATGTTAGAAAAAGAAATGCAGTGCTTCAGCCTGGCATTCAGGTAGTAAATTACACGATATGCTGATACTCTTTTGAAGGCTGCACTAGTGCAGGGCTATAGAACTATTTCAACACTTATTTTGCACATTTTCATGTACTCTCTTAATTACTAATTTTTTTTATATTCAGTATACAATTCAAAAGTAATTGTTTTTTTTATATTTTCTCTATATAAGCCTTGTTAAGCATAATATATAAATGTGTTTTCGAGCTGTTATTTTTGAACATTTGAAAAATTACATGAGTAAACTTCAGTGTCTTCTTCTAGGGTTGTATATTCGTCTGATAAAAACATTAGGGAAATCGAGGAAGAAACTCTGAGGAAAAGAGTCCTGGAGCCCAGACAAACACAGGAAAATGAAAGCCTTACATCTGGTAGTCTTCAGAACACTCAAATATCAGGTGTAAAATGCATTGGAAGTGATAAAACAACTTTTGTTAATCAGCATTTTCTGGATGGAGCCATAGAAAGAGAAGTTGTTTGTTCACCTAATACTGAAGATGAAATTCTAGAAGCCAGTCATGCTGAAGGCAATGCAACTAAGCCAGGTGAAGTTAGAATTGTGTGTGGATTTTGCTAGCTACCTAAACACCAGTGTAGGTTTGTTCAAAAATTGTGGGTAAAGTTTATGGTTATTGCACTAACAAGACCAAGATGAATATTCTTTGCTTTGGCCCAGATCATTCCCTCATGCCCTGAGTAAATGAGTGTTCCATAGGGAGCATACAGGAATGTGATAGAAACTGTATCCCTTGCACTCAGACTGCCACAGAATGAAAATGTAGCAACACGCCCTGAGGAAGAGGAGCGTTTAGTTGGTGCATTTGCATTGGTGCCAATGCCTCTTCTGAGCTACAGCAGATGTAAGCACAGGCCCCTTTGATACAGTGCTTCCATAGTCGGTGGTCCCTCCTTTTCTTCACTGCAGGGAACTTCACTGGTTCCACTGCATTTCATGTACATGTAATGAGCGGGGGGGGGGGGCAGGGCCAAGTCAGTTCCATATAGTCCTGCAAGTGGGGAAATATAAAAATATCCATTTTTCATTTTGTGAGGAGTTAATAGCTTTTGTCACTGATGGCAGAAGTGACCTTAAATTTCTTCAGAGACCAATCTCCTTGAAACTGTATGTATGGTTTGTATAGAAAAGGGAACAAACATACATTTTCACGTACAGCAATAACAGTAACACTTCTCTTCCATTGAGCTCCAAGTGCCAAGGGGTGGTAAAACTTCCAGTATCTCAGTTAAGAGTAACACATAGAAGTTATTCTCCACTACTAGTAAGCTTTGTCTGAAAAGGCTTTCATCAAATATGCATTTCAGAAGGAAATAAACTATCCCATGTGAAAGCTGTAGCATGGATATAAAATATGTTGTCATTTTAGTATCGTTTGTTTCAGATGCCTGAAATTGTTTGCAACTTCAAAATAATCTAGTATAAATAAATAACCATTTCCCCCCATTTACAGGTAATTCTGAACTAGAAACCGCATCTGGGTTAGGAGAAGACTTAATGATGCTCTACAAGAAATGTTGTTGTCCAGATATTAATATTTGGATAGAAGGCAACCAGTTTCAAGCTCACAGGTATTTAAATAAGTAATGAATTTAGAATGTAAACTATTTCACCAGCAATTCTTTCTATATAAAACACTGTTACAGCTACCTAGCTGTGTTGCTCTATAGGTTTAATATAATAAAGTATTCTTAACATGATGTCTTTATATTGTTTTGTACTGTTAGAACTATTATAATGACTTTGCTAGTTTAACCACAGAGACCGGTAGTATTTTTGTAGTAACTGAAGTGCTTCCTTGTGATTACAGCTGTCGTTTTTGTGATAACTAAGTCTTGAGAGAAAATATAATGTGCTTTTAATATTGTAGCTCTGTGTTTTTTACGTTAGGTGCATTCTAGTATAAATTAAAGTAGAATTAGGCTGCAATATATTTATTGCAATAAAATCAGTTAAAGAAAACCTAAATACAGCACAATGTTACAACTTGAAATCCTGTAAACAAATCTAGCCTGTCAAAATAAATAAATAAAACTACAAATCAACTGATACTAATTAATTCCTAATAAAACTAGCCCAAATAAACAGAAACCTCCCTGGATGGAAAGGAAAGATCTTTGGCGCCCTGAAGATTCCATTTCCATTTTTTCCTCCCCTTGTTACCTGTCCACAAGAGAACTGTGACCACTTCAGTGAAGCAGAGGTGAATGTTGTCTCCTTGTCTCAAGAGAGTTACCAGCCCTTGATAACCCAGAAATCATCACTCTGCTTAAGAACCATTTAGGACTCTCATGTTGCAGTAGATAAAGCTGAGATGGCCATTCTCTCCTGTTTTCAGTCAATTTATAACTTTCTGGAGAAAAATATCAAGCTGTAGCCACTGGACTCTCTCCCTGCTGTTCTGATTGTTAATTGCACACAAGTTGGGAAATCCCTGGTTAGGTTAGGTTAGATTCTCTGTGGTGGGGTCCAATTTTCTGCTGTTGGTTTTGATGTAGGAAGCTGGAAAAGAGCTAATTGGCATGTTTTAGAAAGCCACAACCTCCATGCACATTCCTGAGCTTCCCCCATAGCAAGAGACTGCAGGGAAATGGAGGAAGCATAAGAGACATGAAATCTAAGGTTAGACCTATGATAGGGAGATCTGGCTCTTTTATGGCCCCTTTACACAGCCAGAATGGTGCAGAAGGGTTGCTGGAATGATATAGAAAAGATGGCCCATGCACCCAGAGCAACCTGAGTTCTGGAAGATGTGAATGTAAAGCTATATCTGCACTGCACACTACTGGCAGCAGCATGAATGTATGTGTAGCTATGTGCTGCAGTGAAAAGCAAGACTCTGGCAGCTCCCTGCGGAAGAGAAGTGGCTCACCCATAGGGAGCTACTGGAGCTTCCCTGCTGATGGAGCCTTTCCCTGCTCTTGGGAAAAACTTGGGCAACAGGACACTACACTGCCAAAGACAGCAGTGTAGATGGGGGAGGCACTGCTTGAGCATGTAGGGTACATACCCACAGGTTCAAGTGTCTTTATGCACCTAAGCAGTGCCTCATCATTTACACTGCTATTTATACCCATGCTGGGAGGGGCATACAGTGTAGATATACCCTAAAAGTTATTGAGATAGGAGCCCCAAATTTGTTACAGATTATCTACTATCATATAATCTGTGTAGAACACTGTGGGCCAAGTGTTTCCCTTGATTACGCAGGCAACTCACTTAAGTCAGTCAGCTTATTGTGTTGCACTCCACCTATTGGTCAAAGCTGACTTTTTTTTTGTTTTTTAATAGAAAACCTCTCTAGAGGGTTTTCATTTTTGATGCATTACTTTTTTTCCAATGTACAAGTAAAGAATAGTAAAGTGAACAAGATGACTTTCTGAGTATTCATCTTTCTCATAGGTATTTGAAAAAAACAATAATCAGGCAGTATCTGTCTCTTCTGATTTGTCCTGAAGGCAGGCATAAATCCAGATAATATTTTTCAGCTTTGAAATAGTTTTTCATTTTGCTTGCATTTCATTAATATTTTACATATATAATTGAGAAGGTTAGGATAGAGGAAAAAAGTCTTGTTTTCGGAAAATCCATGTAATGTAACAAGTCTGATTATTTTATTTACTACAGAAGATATGGGAATGTGGTAGGGTTTTTTTTTGTTTTGGGTTTTTGTTAGTCTCTAAGGTGCCACAAGTACTCCTGTTCTTTTAACTGAGAAAAAGACGTTCTCAGTTTCATAGAGAAATAGAAATTTTAATGCAAGAAGGAATTCTCTCCACACCCCCCCACCCCCACCCCTGCTCACCTCCCCAAAAAAAACCCATCTGCAAGAGCTCCTTCAGTTCAGGCCATTATCTAGCCAGGAGCTATGTATCTAGTCTAGCCAACATCAGAAAATATGGCAGTGCATTGTATCAGCAAAGAAGAGGAAAACTAGGACATTCTGAAACAAACACAAGAAAATCAGCTGATCGTTTCAGTATCCCATAGAGATTTGAACAGTAGAGGGTGTCTTAAAGTGAGTCAGGGAAAGATAACTTGGGGTATAATTGCAGTGTAGATAGCAGTGAGTTTTGTTTATCGTCCCAAATTATGAGAAGTGATATCCTCAAACTGCAGGCAATTTCAAGGCCCATCCTGCAATCTTTACTCATGAGAGTATTCCTTACTCACTCAGGTAGTCCCATTAACTTCAATGGACTATTTGTTTTGAGTAAGGAATACTGTTTGAGAGAGGGTTACAAAATTAGGTCCCAAATACTGCAAGAGAACAGTCACCATCCCTAGTGACTTGTATACTTAAGACTGAACAAGTTACTCTGCTATGTGGCTCAGATCATAGCAGCAGGAAACCAAGGGCAAGTTTAGTTTCCGCATCAAACACATCTGGAACCTATACAAATGTACATTATAATGCATACAAGATACACCAATGTAGCATGTTATTTTAACATCATAATGCTACTTTTTCACTGGGTAGCCATCTTACTTAACATGCATTATTTAAATGTTCAGTATCATACAAAACAGATCTTAGCCTTGCAGCTTAATCTGTTCCTGCTCATTGCTGAAGCTTGTTTGGAGGGGAACTGACAAAAACAAAGACAATATATTTAGCTTGCAGGAGAGTAAATGGAGAAGGTCACGTGTTCAGAATTCACTTTCACATGCTCAGGGCTGTTTTGGTCTATTGCAGCATCCTTGTTGGATTTAGGGGTTGACCTATCTAATTCAGATTAGCAGGATATCAGGAAAATTTAAATATTGCTGGCTGGCTTGTGGGAGAAATGGAAGAGAGATTCTAGATTGGACATGTGGGAGAAGAAAGAAACGATATGAGAGAGATACCAGCATATAAACTGACAGGGGAAGAGAAGGCAAATTGTATGCTGCTTCTTTCTTTATCCTGTACAAAAACAAGGGTGCTTTCATATAATTTAAAAGTCAACAAATTATAATGTGTATATAAAAGAAAATACCATTCTTATATAGTGTGTAACCTATTGCATTTTCTGCAAAAAAGATGTAACTGAAGCAAAGTAACTTTCAAATTTGAAGTTTAATGTCAAACCATAAGAAATTAATATGAATGAGAAAATCATCTGCAATTATACTAGCTAAGATACAATGTATAAAAGCTAGTCCTTCAGGGTATACCCTAATCATGTGTTGGGGTGAGGAAGCAATTTCCACTTGCTTATCGCTTGCTTGCTCTTTCTGCCTCTGTACTAAATTATTTGAATGGGAGTATAGCACAGCTAATTATGGGGCTTTTTATACTTTTCTCTGAAGCACCTGGCATTGCTAGAGATGGGATATTGAATTGGATGAATAATTTGGTTTGTTTTATGGGAGGGAGAGGAATAAATCAAACACGCTGTTTTACTCCCTATTTTGCGTCTGAGCCTGGGAATATAGGCAATTATAGACTAGAAGGAAATAAAGTAGGGCTGTCAATTAATCACAGTTAAATCACACGATTAACTAAAAAAAATTAATTGTGGAGTTTGTTTTTTTTGCAGTTTTAATTGCACTGTTAAACAATAGAATACCAAGAGAAATTTATTAAATATTTTTGGATGTTTTTCTACATTTTTCAAATATATTGATTTCAATTACAACATGGAATACAAAGTGCACAGTGCTCACTTTATATTATTTTTTATTACAAATATTTATAAAAATTATAAACAAAAGAAATAGTATTTTTCAGTTCACCTCATACAAGGGTGCTGTAGTGCCGTCTCTTTATCGTAAAAGTGCAACTTACAAATGTAGATTTTTGTTGTTGTTACATAACTGCTCTCAAATACAAAACAATGTAAAACTTTAGAGCTGACAAGTCCACTCAGCCCTACTACTTGTTCAGTCAATGGCTAAGGCAAACAAGTTTGTTTACATTTACGGGAGATAATGCTGCCCACTACTTATTTACAATGTCACCAGAAAATGAGACCAGGCGAATTCACATGACACTTTTGTAGCCGGCATTGCAAGGTAATTACATGCCAGAAATGCTAAGCATTCATACGCCCCTTCATGCTTCAGCCACCATTCCAGAGGACATGCTTCCATGCTCATGACGCTCCTTTAAAAAAAAATGCGTTAATTAAATTTGTGACTGTACTCCTTAGGGGAGAATTGTATGTCTCCTGCTCTGTTTTACCCACATTCTGCCATATACAGTAACTCCTCACTTAATGTCCTCCCGCTTAACGTTGTTTCGAAGTTACGTCGCTTCTCCATTAGGGAACATGCTCATTTAAAGTTGTGCAATGCTCCCTTATAACGTCATTTGGCTGACTTTACAAGGGAGCATTGCACAAGTTTCTCTTCTCTGCCTCCTCCCCCTCCTTTCCTCCCTCCCTCCCTCCCTCCCTCCCAGCACTTCCCCCGCCGCCAAACAACTGTTTGGCAGCGCTTAGGACTTTCTGGGAGGGAGGGAGCAGGGCCGGCTAAAGGCACCAGCGCAGCAAGCAGGTGCTTGGGGTGGCCAACGGAAAGGAGTGGCACATCCGGCTCTTCAGCGGCAATTCGGCAGCGAGTCCCTCTCTGAGGGAAGGACTTGTTGCTGAATTGCCACCAAAGAATGACGCGGTGGTGGTAGAGTTGCCGCGGATCGCGGCTTTTTTGTTTGTTTGTTTGTTTTTTGCTGTTTGGGGCGGCAAAAGCACTGGAGCCAGCCCTGGGAGGGAGGGAGCGAGCGAGCAGGGAAGGTGCCCCCTCCGGCAGGCAGGGGCCACCCAGAACGCAGGGGCTGCAGAGCCCTGGGCTAAGGGGGCCCCGGGGCCCTGGCCTGCAGTTCTAAAGCCCCTTTCAGAATACGGCCCTGTAAGCACGGGCCAGAGAACTCAGAAGGAGCAGGGGCAGCTTTTCTCCGGGCACTGGCAGCCCCTAAAGCCCTTGCGTTCCGGGTGGCCCTGCCTGCTGGGGGGGAAGGGGCAGGTCCCAGAATCGCGGCTCCCAGAATTGCGGCCATGGGGGCGGTGCCGCACTGCACAGAGCCACCTGCATACCCCCTGCACCAAACAGGAGCTGCCCCAGGTAAGTGCTCTGCACCTCCTGCCTACCCCAGCCCTGAGCCTTCTCCCGCACCCCAACCCTGAGAGCCTTCCTGCTCCCTAACTCCCTCCCAGACCCTGCACCCCCAGCCCTGAGCCCCAGGAGAATGGAGAGAAAAAAAATGAAAAATGCGGGTGAGGGGTGTAATAAGAGAGAATGCTCCCCCTACAGGGGGGGAGCCAAAGATGAAGCTGAGCACAGTGCCCCACAAACTCTAAATCCGCCACTGGTGGGAGGGGGAGGAGCGGGGAAGCGCCGCGTCTCCGCTCCTTCCCCTCCCTCCCAGAAAGTCCTAAGTACTGCCAAACATCTGTTTAGTGGCAGGGAAGCACTGGGAGGAAGGGGGGAGGAGCGTGGATGCGGCGTGCTTCAGGGAGGAGGTGGAGTGGGGATGGGAAGAGGCAGGCCTGGCAAAGTCAGCACCTGTTCTTCTGGGGGGGAAGCTGCTGCTGTGCAAGGTGCTTCCTAGTGTCCTTATCTGCCTCATTGTCTGCAGCGGGCTGTGCCTGTGTGGGGTAAGCCGGGGCACCTGCCCACCACAGTCCAGTACTGTACAGTATATAAAGCCTTTTGGCTGCCCAAAAAATTTTTCCTTGGAACCTAACCCCCCACATTTACATTAAATCTTATGGGACAATTGGATTAGTTTAACATTGTTTCACTTAAAATTGCATTTTTCAGGAACATAACTACAACGTTAAGTGAGGAGTTACTGTATTTCATGTTATAGCAGTCTCAGATGATGACCCAGCACATCTTCATTTTAAGAACACTTTCACTTCAGATTTGACAAAACGCAAAGAAGGTACCAATGTGAGATTTCTAAAGATAGCTATAGCACTCATGCTTTCAGGAGTCTTTAAAAGAGCAACACTCCGATGTGGAAACCACAGAACCCGAACCACCAAAAAAGAAAATCACGCTTCTAGTGGCATCTCACTCAGATGATGAAAATGAACATGCTTCAGTTCACACTGCTTTGGATTGTTATCGAGCAGAACCCATCATCAGCATGGACCTCTGGAATTGTGGTTGAACGCATCTGGCACGAAAATATCTTGGGATGGCAGCAACAAAAGTGCCATGCAAACATCTGTTCTTACTTCCAGGTGACATTGTAAATAAGAAGGGGGCAGCATTATCTCCTGCAAATATAAACAAACTTTGTTTGTCTGAGCAAGAAGTAAAACTGAGTGGACATGTAGGCTCTAAAGTTTTATATGGTTTTATTTTTGAATGCAGTTATTGTTTTGTACATAATTCTACATCTATAAGTTCTACTTTCATGATAAAGAGATTGCAGTAGAGTACTTGTGTTAGATGAATTGAAAATGCTGTTTTGTTTTTTACAGTGCAAATATTTGTAATCAGACATAAATATAAAGTGAGCACTGTACATTTTGTATTCTGGGTTGTAATTGAAATCAATATATTTGAAAATGTAGAAAACATCCAAAAATATTTAAATGGTATTTTATTATTGTTTAACAGCGCAATTAATTACGATTAATTTTTTTAATTGCTTGACAGCCCGAAAATAAAGTATACCTCTTCTCATGTGTTCATGTAGGAAGCAGATCCCATTTTGTTGGAACATACTAATATATCAGAATAGACTGAAACTTACCTTTTGCAAGGAGGTGGGTAGTTACTCTGGAGTGACTGAAGTTTTAGCTGTATCTTTTATAAATATTTCTTTGTTAAAATCAGTATACTATAAGTATGGGCAAGAGGGCCAGAACATAACTGTCTGAAGTGTTGTTGTTATGCTGTAATATAATAAAAACTGCAAACTTGCGTCTTTGAAAAATCTATTCCACTTTCTCTTTTGGAGGAACAGGTAAGTCTTGCAGCAATTGATTTCTTCTGTTTATGTGAATACTAAAGGTGTACTAGAAACTAGCTTTAACTGAGAACTTTCAGAGTATTAATTTTCTTCATTATTATAACATCCTGAAATTAGTTGCCAAAGATACTGGGAGAAAAAGATATGCAGTGCACAGATACCTTGATGAGTAAGGGGCAAAGATCTGAATCAATCTCGTCTATGATTTTTCTTGTAATAAACATCATTTCACTAGATACAAATATTTACTTTTTTCCCTCTCAGGGCTATTTTATGTGCCAGATCTAGTTACTTTGCTGCTATGCTGAGTGGAAGTTGGGCTGAAAGCTCCCAAGAGCACATCACTCTTCAAGGGTAAGCATAGTTTTTGCAAGTCATATGGGAGCAAAGATAGGCAATTTAAAATCACTGCAAATATGCAGCAACCATGCTGCATACAAAGCAATTCATAGTAATCTGCTGTGATACTTTTTTTTTCTTCCATTTAATAAATTTCTGGAGTAGTATTTTGACTTAGTTAGTAGAATACAGCAGTTTTGATGCTTCTCTTAAATTTATCAGTTGGGGGGAGAAAAGGGGGCCATTCATCAACTTCATCCTTTTCCATAATCCACATTTTAGTGTCCCACAGCCTACATGAAGGTTTTTTCACTCCTCTTCTATTTAACCTCACTTATGCCACAAAAATGTGCCCTATACAGCTGAGCTGTCTCATAAATTTTCATAGCTCTTTAGGATGCACATTTAGGGTATAACAGCAAATCAACTATTCAGTTTGTAGGTCACTTTTAACCAATGTGATTCAGGATCATTGTACACTAGGAAATTGAATCGTGGCTGGAAACATTTTGTCCACAAGTGCTCAGAACAATATTGCTGCTAGTGTATAGCAAATAAAACTCTTCTTGAGTCTTATTACATATTGTATGGATGAATCGGGGACTTTGGTGTCTCTGGGGACGTCAATTCTGTTCCTTTCAACGCCTCAAAAATTTTATATAAAATTTCCATTAAATATTGGTAGCTGTTATCACATAATATGTAATACTGCATTACAAAGTGTACCTAATGTACACTAACCCTGATGCCCTGTAAACTAATGGCAACTAATATGGCCAGGTCATTAGGTCATTCAGACCCACTTTTCTTTACAAAGAACCATGTACATTATAGAGCGTTAGAACCATGTATACACTTTGTCTTGATATAAAATGGTATGGCCGAGCAATCCTCCCCTAATTTTTCCTCATTTTAAATTTCCTATTTTAATAAAATTTCTGTGACATCATGAAAAAAGTTTTGTTTTTACTCATTTTATTTTTTTAAACCACTAACGCAGTTGTTGTATATCTTTTATGCTATATAGTGAATTAAAAAAAAAAAATCAAATGACAGTGTTGTTTTTGTATCTTGCCCGCATCCTACCCTCAGTAATTGATCTCCATCTTTCTAAATAGCTAAGGAATTTCCGTCATTATTTTTTAGTAAAGACTTTTTCCTGAATTTTGTTAAATTTTTTTACAAGCATGTTTAAGTCTAAATAATATCTTGTGGTTTCCAGGTATTAAGAGCTGACTAGATCCATTATTGTACTACTACTACCTTTTCAAGTTCAGTCTTCTGCTTTGTGCAGATTTTCATGCTGTCTTTATAAACACTTATGAATAAAGTGCATATGGCTTATTCTAAAATAATAAAAATGCTGCTTAAGATAACAGCTGTCAAGACAGCAGGGAAACCTTTTCTTGCTGTTTTTATGGCTATCCTGTGTGCTAATGTAGAGAGAGACAACTGTGTTGATTTTGCTGCTTAGCATGTTGCAACCAATTTTGTTCTTTGTTTTTAGTCATCACTGTCTGTTGCTTCAGCATGTTTAATGTTTTAAGAGGTCTCTTATTAACATGTGTGAGTAGTTCCCATTCACACTAATGGCCATGGCACCTGCGTGTTTTGGAAATTAGATCTTGAGTTTAGGATTAATACAATAATGTAATTATTCTGAAAATTCTGTTCACCAATATAAATCCTTCCATTCACTTTGATGGTAAAACTCCCATTATCTACAATGGTGGAAGATCAAGCCCATAGAAACTTTCTAAATATTTTGAGATCTGACTTCTTACTATCACAGTGCAAATGACAATACATTTTTATAAAAAGTAAAGTTTAAATACACTCTTAAATCTAAGAAATCCATAAAAGTAAATTCTTATTAAACATATACAGTTAACATAAAAAATTGAGTGTTTTCTAGTGATATATCTTAAGAAGATGAAAATACCTTGCTTACGCACACAACGTCAGTAAAAATAATCTTTCGTTTAGAGAACCACTATAAATCTCAGTAACAAGTAATTTTACTCTGGTTATAACTTTAATCAGAAACGCTTGCATTATGAAGCTTCAGTTGGACTACTCATATTAGTGAAGTTACTCACAAGCTGAAGTGCCATAGATTAAACTTGGAAACTGCTTTAATTTTATTATAGCAGTGTTAGTCCCAGGATATTAGACAGACAAGGTAGATGAGGTTATATATTTAATTGGACCTGAAGAAGAGCTCTGTGTAAGCTCGAAAGCTTGTCTCTCTCTCTCACCAACAGAAGTTGGTCCAATAAAAGATATTACCTCATCAATCTTGTCTCTTTAATTTTATTAGTTCATTTCCTTTCCATAATTTTTCATAATATGACCAGATGACACATCAACCTTCTGAATCATTTTATAAAATATCAGCAATAGATTTTATTTTGAACATGTCTCTTGTAGTGATTTTCCTTTCTATTTTGCAGCATAAACCATGTAGAAATGAATGTCCTATTGTATTTTATATATGGAGGAATGCTGGACTTCCCAAACAAAGCTGATGCTGGGTATATGTCAAATTTTATTATTTTTAATCGCACTTCATGCCTATTCTGCTTTTTCTCAGTTCAGATTCAAATGGAAAATGCATCATGTAGTATAAATAAGACAAAGATATCAAATGTAATGATCATTGCATCTAAACATATTTTGAGGAAATTTCAAAAATAATATAATTTTTAGATAGGTCGTGTTGTTTATTCAGCAGCTACTGGAAAAGTTGGACCGGCAGCCCTATAGAAAATTATATGGGGAGAAAAATGTTTGGGAAAACAAACAGTATAGCCTTTTATGCTAAAATAATTTGACACTTTGTGCTGTATATTCTGTTTTTACTCAGCTTTTAGAACAATATGGACAAAGTGAGATGATACTTTGTAACAAATATTTAGACTGTAATATTTGAAAGAACTTTTTGAATTAGTGAGATGTCCCACTGTTTGTAAAATAATAAATCCACAGAAAGTAATTGAACAGTAACATGAAACACTTGCAGGCAATCTTTTTTTAAAATGTTTGGTCTAAACCCTCTCCCCAGCGTATAGCTGGTGTAAACAACCCTACGGAAATCTGTAGATCTTGGGAATGGTATAGAACTCATCCATTAAGGTAGCAAGCTGCATTGGAGCCATTCCATGGCTGCTAATTCAGCCATTGCATGTCCCCTCACTATATCCAGCAAGGAGGTTTTGGCATCTGTAATATCATGGATGCACTGGGCCCACTCCCAAAATGTTCCTCGGTGGTTGCACCGATTGGAGCTGTTTTATATAGCTCACAGTGTACAAGCGTACACACGCTCTGGGTTGTTTTCCTAGGTCATCTGCTCTCCCCCAATTCTTTTCTGTAGAATTGCACTAGTTCTGTTACTCACGGGATTCCGTGTCTATTAAATTGTAGTGGAGTGGTTTAAGATTTGTAGGGTTTGTTCATAAACTTAGATGCTAAGGGTTACATTTGCTGGTTGGATGTTATTAACATATAATATTACAGCATCAGGATCACAAACCAGTAAATAAGAGTTTTGAAATATTCGTTGTAATCTGTTATATAGAAGCTGTTCTTAAGTTTGCTAGTAGATGTCAAGAACATAATTTCTGAAGAGTGAAAATCATTTGTTATTCAAAGCTTATTCCCCCAATATGACATGGAATTGTATTTAAAATGTCCCCTACAAATCCTTGCCTGGAATGGGCCATATCATAGAGGTATTAATTATTTTACAAAATTAGTAGTTTTGTAGTTTGTTTACTATGCTTTTCTGTTATTTGGAAGTGACTCTCATCACTGATGTAATTCTCAGATGCCAGACTACATAACCCGTAACATCAAATATAACCCTTGTAATGGGCAGCCGTGAAATGCCTAAATCATCCTACTGCAGCAACTAGAAAAGAGCACTTGCCCTCAAAATGGAGAGGTACTGAAAGCCATGTAAGAAGTTCTGTGAGCTTCAGCAAGCAGCTCTAGAGGGTCACTCTGTTAGTTGTAGGGTTTTTTTTAACTAGGTTTGTTTCTGTTTGAGGACTGTATTTTGGAACATTCTAGACCAGTGGTTTTTAACCTTTTTTCATTTTCACACCCCTAAAACATTTTGAATGAAGGTGCTGACTCCTTTGGAAATCTTAGACAGTCTGCGAACCCCCAACGGTCTGCAGACCACGGGTTGAAAACCACTGTTCTAGACATGTACCATGTACTTATACTTATTCAATACACAGTGGTGTATAGAAACTTCTAACTGAGAAGAAAAAAGGGGTTGGGAGGAAGTCATTTGGGTTGTAAACTGTCTTGTAAGCAAAAATGGTGATTTTATGATTCCTATCATTACTGCTCTCACTTCAGTCGAATACTCAGTGTTGCTGATATGTATGGGCTAGACGGACTGAAAGAAGTAGCTATCTATATTCTCAAAAGAGACTACTGCAATTTTTTTTCAAAAGGTATGTGTATATCTTTCAGTTTTACACTACTGTGTGAACCAAAATGCCAGGGGGCGGGGGGGGGCAGAATTTAATTCTATTATAAGTCAGATTGTTGAGATGTTTAATTGGACCTGAAGAAGAGCTCTGTGTAAGCTCGAAAGTTTGTCTCTCTCACCAACAGAAGTTGGTCCAATAAAAGATATTACCTCATCAATCTTGTCTCTTTCATTTTATTAGTTCATTTCCAATTTAATAACAAAGAATCATTCTGTTACTACTGAGGGTGCTAGGCCGGGGTCTGCAGTTCCTACACTCTTCGTAATTCCATCAAGTTTAAATGGGATTACTAATGGAAGTAAGGCCTGCCGGGTCAAGTACCTATTTGTATAACAACAATGAAGTAGGCAGTTTGTAAGCCATAGTAGAAAAAATGCAGCATTCCACTATAGCAGTTAAACTTATATTAAATTCCTTAGAATATTAGCCATTGTCATGTCGCTTTATATTGTTGGGGGTTGTATACAGACATGTTGCATACTTAGAAGTATATTTTTCAGGTATTTCTGTTCAACTGAAAATTGAAAGTTGAAAATTCAAGATTTTTTTTAGTTGAATGTGCCCATACATTAGGCCCAACCCTGCACCATTGCCACTGATTTCAGTGGGAGCAGGAGTAGGCCCATTATGCATAAATTCCCACAAATGTAAATATTCTGGTCACTGACAATGTTTCAGGCTAAACTGAAGACTTGTATATTTGCATGTTTTCTATAAGTCAGAATGAACAGCAAGTATGATTATTTTCTCACAATTGTAGCCTATTCCTGGAAGGCAGCAACATGTGCTAGAATGCCTGGCTATTGCTCATTCAATGGAAGTCGAGAACCTTTATGCTGCTTGCATGAAGTAAGTGAAATAAAATGCATTATGGTTTATGCTGTCCATTTTCACTGTTCATTCTTTAAATTAATGCGTTTTGACAGACTGAACATAATTTTGGGAGGAACTTAAAGTTCATATTTTAATCTAGTTTTTCCATGAAAACTCATGGGGCTCATTTATGTTAGCAGAGGTGAAGATATTACAACAATAGTTTTATAAAATTTCATCTGTGTTCCTTATTTAGTTAAGTAAAGCTCTTATTTTAACAGATGGATAGTAAAACATTTTGTGAAATGTTGGTCAGAGAGGAGCTTTGCCAGTTTACCCACTGAGCTTCAGAACAACTGTCTTACTGTGATGATTCAGTCTTTGGTAAGTATGTATCTAGTTAGTGCTTACATGTATGTTACTTTAAAATTGTGCTTATTTAGCTTTGCAAAGGAATTAAAAAGTAAATTAATAGTAAACATGCCTCATTAAATGTATAGTATATTAATCCTAGTAAATGAAAAATCATTATATAAACGAAAACACAAGAACAAACATTAACGTACAAATACAGTCACACTGATGTTTCATGGAACACATGATGAGGGGGAAAATCTCAAACCACTCCAAAATATAGCCATTTAAGAGGAGTTTATCAAATTCCGTATTCTGACAGAATAGTACAACATTATACACTCAAATAAAGAGAAGGAGCAATTGTAGTAATTGTCAGGTTAATTCTTATACCAGACACCACAGGTGAAACTGGCCTGATTGAAGTAAGTAGGAGTTGTACCACGGACTTAATGGGTCCAGGAGGATTTGACCCCAAATTTTAATTTTGGAGACTTAGCATAAGCTGGTTGGTGGGTTTTTTTTCTCCAGGCGAAAGTGTTTTGCTATCAATTAGTGGTTATGAGCCATCTACTTATAGGCAGAGCCCGTGTCTGTCATGGAGGTCATGGATTCCATGACTTTCTGTGACCTCCATGACTTTTGCAGCTGCCAGTGTGGCTGACCCCAGGGCCGCCCAAGCAGCTGGCACCAGGGACAGCTGCTCAGGCAGCTCCGGGGACAGCCACACCAGTCGCTGCTGGAGCAGCTCTGCAGCTAGCCACTCGGGTGGCCCCACAGCCAGCTGCACCAGCCGCTGCTGGAGCTGCTCTGGGGACCACCCGAGCAGCAGCAGATGTGGATGGCCCAGGGACTGCCTGAGGAGCAGTCCTGGGGACGGCAGGAGCAGCCGCAGCTTGGCGGCCGCCGGCAGCGGTCCCAGGGTTGGCCGGAGCAATGGTGAGATTGTGACCCTAGGGATGGCCGGAGCAGCCCCTGCTCGGTGGCCCCCAGCAGCTGATGCCTCTAGCCCCTTCACCTCCCAAGCAGCAGCCCTTCAGGGCAGAGCAGTGGCTCCCCTTGGGGAACCCCCCAGATAAGATTTAGTTGGGGTATTTATAGTACAATCATGGACAGGTCACGGGGCTGTGAATTTTTGTTTATTGTCCATGACCTGTCCATGACTTTTATTAAAAATACCCATGACTAAATCGTAGCCTTACATATAGGGAATTAATCTCTCAAAATTGTTAGTGTCTGTAATTTTTTATTGTCTTAGCTTAATATTAAGCTGTTTTATCTTCCGTTTCACAAATTGTCAACATTGATATGACCTCTGAATGTATCCATCTTCAGACCTTACCAGTTGTTGTTAGTGTTGTGTGTTTACATTCAATTCATAGTGCCCGAATTTTCCACTCTGGTATTTGTGGAATTAATACCTGGGCTGATTTAGTGGGTCAAATTCAAATCAGAGTTATGCCAGCTGAAAATTTGAGCTAGAATGTGCACTGTATCACAGCACAAATAACTATAGTTTTTTACCCTGAAAGCTATCTCTGTCAAAAAGTTACATGATACCTAGGATGAGATTCTCATCCCCACTCTAGCTGCTTCACACTGGCTAAAGGGGCTGAAACAGTGTTAAAGAAGCTCTAAACGATCTGTTTTTAGCTGGGTATGATTTCTCCTGTGCAAGCACCGTGGAGTCAGCCATAGTGCTGTCTTCTGATGACCCCCACATAAGCCCTGGTGTAGGGTGTGTGATGGGGTCAAGGTGAGAGGGGTGGAGTTGCAGCATGCAGTGCTGAAGAGATTCTGGGCAGTGCTGAGGCCCATCGGGTGATCCTGGGCAGCTGACAGGCCTGTGGAATCCTCTCCAGCCCCAAGAGCAGCCAGGCTCGAGAGGACACAAAGGTGGTTTAAAGCCATCTTGCCCCCATCCTGTTCCTGCTGGGCTGTGCCTCTTTGTTGATGTCTAGTAAGGCTTCACAATCATGGAGTTGAAAAATAAATCAACATGCTTCTTCCACTCTTTCTGCCTCCCTAAATCCTATGTGGCATCTATTCCCAACATTTCCTGAGACTGAAAATTCTCTAGTGGCCAATGGGGTTTTGCATATTTTAAAAACTGCAAAAATGTTAAGGCTGCTTGGCAAAACAGTCTAATATTTATAGATATTTATTTTACTTGAGCTATTCTATTTTACAAAAAACTTTTTATACTGTGCATAGTACTTCTCAACAGTTAGGCCCAGTCTGTAAATCTGAGCTTATTGGTTCTTTCATCTGTCAATCTTAGACATTTTATGTTTAAAAGCCAATTAAATACAATAATGGAATGCTTTCTTCTGATATGCACAATTTCCAAACTGTACAGGTGTGAGCTTGAGTAGAATCGCTATTGGCTTTGTGAGCTTTCATTTAAACAACATTAAAGGCAGCACAGAAGCAACAAATTTTCCAAAATACTGAGCTGTTTCACTTGCTCCTGTATAGCAAATCTTGAGAGGAGTGTGAGGTATATGGAGAAGTAGACTTGCAGTGGAGAGACTTTGATGAAAAGCCACAAAGATTGGTACAAGAAACTAAAAACTTCTAACCATTTAAAACCACATTAAGGGGGCTTATCTTGGTAGCCTCACAAACAAGTGTTTGGAAGTAACCATTTTTTAGAAAAGAGAAAGTAACTTCCTCCTAGAACAAAACTATAGTTGTTCACAGTTATCTCTTACCCTAGAGAGAGATTATGTCTGGAGGAATAAGATGCAGATAGGCCCAGTCCTGTAAGGTGCTGATTTAACTGTACGCTGTGGAGGTATTTCATATTTCACTAGAAGTGCTTAATGGGCATTGTGGGCACTCAGCACCTTGCAAGAAAGAGGTAGATGCTCCTCATCTTGTGAGTAAGGACCTGATCCTCCACTATTAAAGAGGCTTGTAATCGAGCCATCGGGAGCATGATCGAACCCTAAGTGCATGCTAATCCTTTATTTACTTTTATATGCACATATGAAAAATAGGCTTTGCCCATAACAAATGTAAAAACAGTTGAGTGAGGACTTGCAGGAAGTTTACTCCTAGTTGGAATATACACAGAGAAAATACATGCTGTGTTTTTCTTTCTCTGAGCTGAAAGTACTCAAGCTTTCTTGGTAAGTGTGAATTTGAACTTGCAACACTTTTCTGTCATGTGTTTAGTTGAATGTAATGCTTTTCTTTTCTATAGCAATCTAACTAAGATTAACCAAATTTAGGCTTTTTAAACCATCAGTATGTTTTCTCTTTCCTAATTTGTTTTTCACTAATTTGTTTTTGCTTTCTCATGATTAACTCTCATTCCATAACAATTAGGAAACTGTGAAGAGAACTAGAAATTTTGATTACTTTACAGGTTTACTACTACTTTGTTTCCATTAGGAAGAATACGCAAGACCCTGCTTGTAGAAAACACTGTTTACCTTTGGCAGCATTTTTAAACCAAGATAACAGGGGGGAAAATAATAAAGCTTATTGAGCATATTGTATAATTTATCAACTGACCTGGGAGGTCATATGTAGTAGATCTTTTTTAATCCATTTTACTTTGGTGGATAACGATAAATTGTAAATTACTTTTAAGGTGTGAGTTAGCAGGTGGTGATATGGGCATTGGTGATGAGGCCTATGTAAGTACTTAGGTTGGCAGTGAAGCATCAAAATCACAGTATAACTAAATTAAAGGAGAGAGAATATTAGGAAACTAACTGTTTAAAACAAATAAATGCCACATGGATCAGCTCACTCCTTCCTATGGAAAACTTGGGAATGGGGAGGCTAAGTGAGGATAAAATTCTGTGAAGTCCAACAGTTGCTTCATTGGACAGGGTGCGGGAGGCTCCTGCAATGTCTCCCAGCCACGTAGAACTCTCCCTGCCCCTTATGTCAACATGGCTATCATACTGTCTTATGACTTAGTATTATCCTTTCCATTTAACTTTCCTATGAACTTCCCCTTACTAGTTTAGTGTTTGGCATTTGTTTGTGAATCTGCCTTCTCTCTAGGCAGCAAAATATAATGATGAAAAGAGGGAAAATCCCATTATGAAAACATTCTCCCCTAGCATCATCAGAGAACAATAGAAACAATTGAGCCCATCAGACTTATTAACTTAAAAAAAGATAGTGGAATATGCTAATATTAAAATCCAAATATAATTAAGGTAAGCGAAATTAATAGTAAGTGTAAGTGTTCAGTAACTTAATAGGAGCTATTTGAGAAACAGCTTTTTCTTGGATGTCTACTCTAATAGATAACTATTCTAATATATATTAATTGCTTTTATTTTAAGAACCACAAGAATGCAGCTTCTCTTTTGATGGAAAGCGACCGGCTGCTCGGTAGTCTTCCCCAAGTGAAATGGTCTGAAACGGGTCTGGCCTTGGCATCTAAGCTTCAAGAAGAATGCATAACATTTATTGTAACAAACTTCCCTCATATAATAGAGAGTGAAAGTTTTCATATTTTCTTGCAGGTAAAATGCTTATGAGTTCTACTTTTTTCAAAACAAATGCATTGTATTATTACACTTTCTTGTATGGGAGTGAGTTCTTCCCAACAACTTAGGCTGTTACACTGAAATCATTCTGAGTCAGTTCACTTTACAAATAATTTCAAATAAGAATTTAATATTAGGGCAGGGGTCAGTTATTAGGGCATAATTAATTTGAAAAAAATTCAGACTTTAATCCTATGTACAGTTACGTACTTCAAGTTGAGCAAGTGTGGGTAGTTCCACGAAGTCAAGGGTACTACTCTTGGGTGTAAAGTTAAGCATGTGCATAAAAGCATCATAAAGCATGTACAGGACCAAAGTCCAAGGTAGCAGCACGCACATGCCACAATGTCCATTGACTTTTTGAGTTGCAAATGTGCAGCACTGCTAACGGTTAAGGATTAATTGAAAGAGTTCCCTGCAGTATTTCCTGGTAAGAGCTTGTCTAATTTTACCCAGCACTGCATTTCCCTAACAAGACAAAGATTTGGCAAGGTGCTCTGATGCATCAATAATTAAAAATGGATATATCAAAACTGCCTTTTTTCTTCAGATCTGAATGGGAAACACTGAACACCAAAGTCACAATGGTCACTTTCTGTTGGGTAGTGTTTTTCATATGAAATACACATTTATTTTAAATGACTCCCTTTTCATTGTTTCCTAGGCACAGGCAATGAGCAGCAAACCTGATCTTCTAGAACAAGTTTTAAAAGCAATTGAGAAAAACATTAGCATTGAAAACAGTTGCTTTCTTCTTATAGCTGTGGATACTTTGTTGAGCTCCACAAATGTGAAGGAAATGGTAGGTTTTGCAGTAGATAATAGAAAAAGAATAGCTCACAACACTTACTCATTTATTTAAAAACTGGCGCTTCTTTTTTTTTTTGTGGCGTAGGAGTTCAAATCAAGTTATGCAATTTGGGCTCTATGACCCCAGTACTGCAGTTGGATCCTTGCAGGCAGTCCATCACACCTGTGCAAAGTCCTGTTGAAAACACAGGACCTACTAACATTTGTGTATAGCGGGGTGGCCAACCTGAGCCGGAGAAGGAGCCAGAATTTACCAATGTACATTGCCAAAGAGCCACAGTAATATGTCAGCAGCCTCCCATCAGCTCCCACACCCTGCTCCCAGTGCCTCTCGCCCAACCACAGCCCTGCTGATCAGCACCTTTCCCTCCCTCCCCGTCAGCTGTTTCATGGCGTGTAGGAGGCTCTGGAGGGGAGAGGAAGGAGCGAGGGCACGGCAGGCTCAGGGCGGGAAGGGGTGGAGTGGGGGCAGGGCCTGTGGCAGAGCCAGGGGTTGAGCAGTGAGCACCCCGGCACATTGGAAAGTTGGCACCTATAGCTCCAGGCCCGGAGTTGGTGCCTATACAAGGAGCCGCATATTAACTTCTGAAGAGCCACATGTGGCTCTGGAGCCACAGGTTGGCCACCCCAGTGTATAGCAACATTATATTAAAAAAAAAAAAGGGTAGTAGTACTTAGCACTGCCTGTGGCAACACTAAGTGTTCCAGGCTAGCACCAATGACTAATAACATTGTGTGGGAAGACACTACTAATGTTCACTACCATTGTAAATATGTGACTGAGAGAGAATATTTAAAAATTAAATAACCTTAAATTTACTCTAGGGGACAGAGTTTATTTTTAATTAATTTACTTTAAAAAACCACGTGAATATGAGGGTTGTGTTTGCTCTTCTTTTAAGCAAACTCTTCGGCGCAAGGACTGCATCTTCCTGTGTTTCTGGAAAGTGCCTATCATGTTGTGGGTGCTACCACAATCTAAATAATAAATTTTAAATGAAAATTGACTGTAATGTCATGAGTGACATGTGAATGATAGAAGACCCTGATTACAATTTATAATGTTACCTGCAAAAAATGTTAAATCTTTTCTTAAACTACTGCAATCAAGTGCTATTATAGACTTACTCAGTAAGAGTGTGAAAATTTAATCAGATACATTTTTGTCCCCCAGAGAATTTGACCTTGTAGTGACAGAGCTGATAGTAAAAAGCTCTGAAAGGATTAATTTAAAAAAGGAATGTGGTGGCTTGTGATGCTTTAGCTTCTGTGGGAGTGGCTTAGTTTCAAACTGTATAAAATTGTGGGGTGGGGGGTGGGGGGGAGAACAATAAGCCTTCATAAACAACATCTACATCTACTAGGTTATTGTAAAATATAAATGATGACATCATTGATCTATCTTAGGGAGTAAGTAGATTCTGAAAGGAATAATGACTGGTTGCTATGACAATGTGCCTCTCGCCAGCTGCTGATTTGTTACTTGAACACAGGGTTTTACATGCAAGATCCAGGCTCTGCGTGATAAGCTGTGGATCTTCCTGGTTCAGTCTTTTTATGCTGTTCGTCACACAGAAAGCTGGAAGCTGATGAGACCAGATCATCAAGAGAAAATACAAGCAGGTATGCAAGCAATCAAGAACAGCTATCATTGTATAATAATAGTGTCCTTAATATAAAAAATATTGGTAGTGTTGGGGGCTGGTAACAAACTATAGCATGCTTAAAACTGTGATGCTCTTGCTTTGAAAGAAGTATTTTATAAATGAAAGCAAAGATAATATGCTTAGCCAGCTTCATGCCTGGAAATTAATTGAGTGTTCTGTGAATATTTTCCTGGCTTTTATTTGTATAGATATGAAAAATGGAAACATTATATGTAGATTATGTCTAGTTTTGTTTGCAACTATTCTAAATTATTAAAAATATTGCAATAGGATTAAAGAAACCATTATCTATCTCCATTTTTAAGCAGATAAGCATTATAGAAAATTTAAATCTGCACAAAGCAGATTACTAATTCTATGAATTCTGTTTCTTTTTTAATCAGTTGTTCATATTAATGTATAAAGCTTGTATATCTCTTGCATAATCTCCATCTCATGTGGACTGTGAATAAATGTAGCTGGCTTGACTTCACAATTGATTGGTATTGTGATACTGTATGTGTTGCTGCAGAGAGCCCCCAGGAAGCTGCATAGTGATCTCTTAAAATGTTAAGAGGCAGTACTTCAGCTTTAAACAAAAGGAGTTTGTGCTCTGAATGTTTCCTTATTTTCAAATATGTGGAATGAAATTTTGAGGGTGTGGAAGTGAAAATGGCTCCAGGGCCTTGGTTGAATATTTGCTTTGTGATTGTGCATTTTATAAAGGAAAAAATGTGAGACTCATTTAATTTTTCTTTAAAATTAGCTCACCTTTGATTCATAGTAAAAGGTAAAATATCTTAAATGTTTTATTAAAGAAGACATTAAAATTGAGACTCTAATGAAAAATTGTACGTGATTATAGATGGATTTAATTTTTTATCCCTTAACATGTTGGTTGAAAGATGGATTATGTCAGTCTTTACAAGCATGATTTAAGGGTGTTACTAAATTATGTTTGATTGCTACTTTCTGAAAAAGGCTCGTGATTTCATTCTTTATTATAAAGCACTTCAGTAATTTGGGGGGTTGCTTTCAGAAATAGAAGCATAATTTGGAGTATATTTGGCATCTGATGTTCTTCTGTATTAGAGCTGTAGAGTAAAGTAGTACCTAGACCTGGGTTCATAAAGTGGGTGTCATTCAACTCTCCATCTTTATTTTGTTTTGGGTTTTTCAGAGTTATATAGCATTAATTCAGCTCTGATAGACTTCATTTTAACTGTAAACTATTAAGTTATGGAAAACTTTCAGTGTAGGTTTTTGTTCTAGAAACAAAATGATGGTATTTTCCTAGAAGCATCTTATTACATGAGATTTGTTTAAGATCACAAAGTCAAACAACTTTCATCTTGAGAAATTTCAGGTACTACTGAATTCTGAAAAGACCTAACCTTTGTAGATTAATATCCTAGGATAGGAAATGCACACAATTAAGACAAGAAGGTAATGTTTTTCTCGTTCACAGCATTTCTGTGTTCTCCTGGGCACAAGTTTATGGGAAAATTGTATTAATATATTAGTGTATATTAATGTGCAGAGTCATCACTGAAAAAATATTATATCCCTGTGGTGCCATTTTCAGCATCTTGCCTTTTCTTGCAGGATTTCTATACAGCTAAATAAAGATGCTTTGTAGAACCCAAAATTCTATTGTCATATTGTGTGCTTTGTCCATATAAAGAAATAGTAGGATATAGCATGTGAAGAGTGAATGTTTATTTAATCCATTTTTCTCAGAATAGATAAATTTGCATCAAGCCAAAAGATGCATATAAACAAAAATAAATCTTTATCCCTTCTCTCTGTGTACAGTATTTACATATATCCTTTCTATATTGCACAACTGCTACAGATTTGAAGGTTTCATTGACTGATGCCTCCCAGATGTTATACAGTAAAAAATATTTTTAGTAGCTTTATTAATTCAATTATATAGCATTACATGCAGTGCTTTACAAACATGGATAAGATGCATTCCTTGCCCTGAAAAGCTTACATAATGTCCTCCAGATAACTTTAAAACTAACATGTATTGCCTCAAGAGCTAGTGTGTATCTAATGTACATATGCAAATATGTGGAGACTACAGCTTTTGACAAAGAACATGAGAATGGGTCAGACCAGTGGTCCATCTAGCCCAATATCCTGTCTTCTGATAGTGATAGGGTGACCAGATGTCCCGATTTTATAGGGATAGTCCCGATATTTGGGCCTTTTTCTTATATGGGCACCTATTACTCCCCACCCCCGTCCCGATTTTTCATACTCGCTGTCTGATCACCCTAGAGAGTGACCAATGCCAGATGCTTCAAAGGGAATGAACAGAACAGGGCAATCATCAAGTGATCCATCCCCTGTCATTCAGATCTCTATTTTATCCCCTTTAGTCATCTCTTTTCCAAGATGAACAGTTTCAATCTTTGTAATCTCATCTTCTAGAAGCTATTTTGTACCCTTAATCATTTTTGTTGCCCTTCTCTGTACCTTTTCATTTCTAATATATCTTTTTTGAGGTGGGGTGACCAGAACTGCACACAGTATTCTAGGTGTGAGCGTACCATGGATTTATATAGTGGCATTATGATATTTTCTCTTATCTATCCCATTCCTAATATTCTAGCGTTTTTGATTGCCATTGCACACTGAGTGGATGTTTTCAGAGAGCTATCCACAATGACTACAAGGTCTCTTTCTTGAGTAGTAACAACTAATTTAGATCCCATCATTTTGTATGTATAATTGGGATTATGTATTCCAATATGCATTATTTTGCATTTATCAACATTGGATTTCATCTGCCATTCTGTTGCTCAGTCACCCAGTTTTGTGAGATTCTTCTTTAATTCTTTGCAGTCTGCTTTGGACTTAATGTTCTTCAGTAATTTAGTATCAACTGCAAACTTTGCCACCTCACTGTTTACATCTTTTTCCAGATCATTTATGCTGAACAGCATTGGTCCCAGTACAGATCATTGGGGGACATCACTATTTATCCTTCTCCATTGTGAAAACTGACTACTTATTCCTACCCTTTGTTTCCTATCTTTTAACCACTTATTGATCCATGAGACGACCTTCCCTCTTATCCCATGACTGTTAATTTGCTTAAGAGCCTTTGGTGAGGGACCTTGTCAAAGGCTTTTTGAAAGTCCAAGTACACTGTATCCACTGGATCACCCTTGTCCATATGGTTTTTTTTGACTCCCTCAAAGAATTCTAATAGATTGGTGAGGCATGATATCCCTTTACAAAGCTGTGCTGACCCTTTCCCAACATATCGTGTTCATCTATATATCATTGTTCTTTACTATAGTTTCAACCAGTTTGCCTGGTATGAAAGTTAGGCATACTGGCATTGTAATTGCCAGTATCGTCTCTGGAGCCTTTTTTGAAAATTAGCATCATATTAGCTATCTACCAGTCATCTGGTACGGAGGCATATTTAAGTCCTAGGTTACATACCCCATTTAGTAGTTCTGCAGTTATGTATTGGAGTTCCTTCAGAACTCTTGATTGAATACCATCTAGTCTTGGTGACTTATTACTGATTTAATTTATCAATTTGTTCCCAAACCTCTTCTGTTGACACCTCAATCTGGGACATTTCCTCAGATTTGTCACCTAAAAAGAATGGCTCAGGTGTGGGAATCTCCCTCACATCTTCTCTGGTGAAGACTGATGCAAATTCATTTAGATTCTTGGCAATGGCTTTCTTGAGTGCCCCGTTAGCACTTCGATCCTCCAGTAGCCCCACTGATTGTTTGGCTGGCTCACTGCTTCTGATGTACTTTTAAAAAATGGCTGTTTTAGTTTTTGAGTCTTTTGCTAGTTGTTCTTCAAATTCTTTTTTGGCCTGCCTAATTTTACTTTTACACTTGATTTACCAGATTTTATGCTCCTTTCTATTTTCCTCAGTAGGATTTGGCTTCTAATTTTTAAAGGATGCCTTTTTTGTCTCTAACTGCCTCTCTTTTACTCTGTTTAGCCACAGTGGCATTTTTTGTGTGGTCCTCTTACTTTTCTTTTTAATTTGGGGTACACATTTAATCTGAGCCTCTATTATGGTGTTTTTAAAAAGTATACGTGCAGCTTGCAGGCATTTCACTCTTGTGACTGTTCCTTTTAATTTCCGTTTAAGTAGCTTCCTCATTTTTGTGTAGTTCCCCTTTCTGAAGTCAAATGGTACTGTGGTGGTCTTTTCTGGTATTTCCTCCACCTCCTCCCATCCCCCCCAAGACATTAAGGATGTTAAATTTAATTATATAATGGTCATTCTTACTGAACGGTTCAGCTACTGGACCAGATCCTTTGTTCCACATAGGACTAAATCCAGAATTCTCTCTCCCTTTGTGGGTTCCAGGTCTAGCTGCTCCAAGAAGCAGTCATTGATGGTGTCTAGAAACTGTATTTCTGCATCCCGTCCTGAGGTGACACAGTCAGTATGGGGAGTCATAGATTCATAGACTTTAATGCCAGAAGGGATCATCATGAGCATGTAGTCTGATCTCCTGCACATTGCAAGCCAAAGAACTACACCCACCCACTTCTGTAATAGACCCATAGTCTCATCCATGCATTGAGACCCTGCGGTTCTTCCTATCTAATTGGCCCTGCACATGGAACTGAAGGCATTTCAGAGAATGCTACCATGAAGGTCCTGGTCTTTAATCTCTTACCTAGAAGCCTAAATTTGACCTGCAGAACCTCTCTCCTGCCTTTCCCTATGTCACTGGTACCTGCATGTACCATGACCACTGCCTCCTCCCGAGCACTGCACATAAGCCTGGCTAGATGTCTCGAGAGATCCACAACCTCCGCACCTGCCATGCAGTTGACCAGTGGTTCTCTTGATCATCGCAAACCCAGCTATTTATATTTCTAATTGATGAAATCCCCCATTACTTGTCTCTTACTAATAACTAGAATTCCCCACCGTCCCCTCTCCCACCCCACCCCCCAAGAGGTATTCTCCGTGCAAGAGGATACCATGACATCATTTGGAAGGAGGGTCCGAACTATAGGATTGTTTCCCTCCGCTCCAGTTTGATGTTCTCCTTCCCGGAGACTTTCCTCCTCCTCCTCCTCAACAGCACAGAGGCTGTCAGACTGGGGTTGGGAGCACTCTAATATGTCCCAGAAAGCCTCATCTATGTTCCTGTTAGTCTCTCTTAGCTTCTCCAGTTCAGCTACTCTGGTCTCAAGTGTCCATACTTGGTCTCTGAGGGTCATGAGCTCCTTGCACTGAATGCATATATGCCATCTGCCCACAAGGCAGATAATCATGCATGCTGCATTCAGCAATAAATTGGATAGCCCCAACTCTGCTGCTGGACTTCTGCCTGCATTGTTTTTACTCTTGCAGCTTTTTTTTCCTTTTTCTTTTGGAGGGCAGCGGGGGAGGAGGGTGGTTATTGGCCTAAGTTTAGAGAATGTTAGGTGCATCTAGCTCTCATGCTTCCTCTCTAAACTCCAGGCTTGTCTACACTACCCGCCGGATTGGCAGGCAGCAATCAATCCAGCGGGGGTTGATTTATCACGTCTATCCCAGTCGATAAAATCGACTGCTGAACGCTCTCCCATCGACTCTGGTACTCCACCAGAACGAGGAGCACAAGCAGAGTTGACAGGAGAGCGTCAGCTGTCGACTTACCACAATGAAGACACCGCAGTAAGTAGATCTAAGTACGTCAACTTCAGCTACACTATTCACGTAGCTGAAGTTGCGTATCTTAGATCAACCCCGCGTGGTAATGTAGACAAGCCCTCCCTTGCAAAACTTCCCATGTCGCTTTGGAGCTTGTTTTTTAAACCCCTGTTCTCCCTGCTAGTCCTGCTCCTTGGTCAATGCTTAACGGATTCTAATGGGATTAGGAATCAAAATTTCCTTAAGAAGCTCTCAGCCTTGCTTAGCAGGCCACTAGGCTCAGCACATGCCCCCCAAACAGACCACACTATATACTACAGTATATTGTTTAGTTGTTTTAAGAGAATAGATCTTTTATTTCAAATAGATGATGTTAGTATAAATGTATAGGTGGTTAGAACTAATTGAAAGTGATTGTTGTTGCACATTCCTATACACCCAGGATCTCAAAGTACACCCCCAAAGATTTAATGAGCTACATACATCAGAGGTATGGAAGTATTATCCTTGTTTTGTAGATGGGGAAACAGAGATTAAGTTACTTGCTTCATGTCACATAAAAAGTCTGTTGCAAAGTTCATTACAGATATTGGATCTCCTAACTCTGAATCTTGTACTCTAGATACAAAAACATCCTTCGCCACTTAATGTTTTCCATTTTGCCAAAATAAATCTCCCTCGACTAGTTCACTGGCTCCAAAAGATAGTTCCATGAATAAGGCTGGCTTTTTTTTCCCTCTCTCTCTCTCTCATGCTGCCTTCTCACTGATAATAGCGATCCTTTTTCCCTATACAGCTGCTTTTGACAAAGGGGATGATCGAAGACTTGGCAAAAAACCTGTATTCACTAGTTCTCAGGTAAATGCTTAGATTCTTACAATTAAAAATAATCAGAATCCCGTAAACATAACTGCTCCTTTTCATGCTTTATATTTTCAAAATAATGTAATCTGTTGTGGTCTGTGTTTACTAACTGCTCGTAGTTAATCTTCAGCAATCATATTTTCCTTGTAATCCCAGTTGAGCCAATATTTTATTCATAATCTGTGATGTCCGTTATTAGAGCATTTTAGATTTTGATGTGGGTTAGCAGGAGTCCATGCTTTCAGATAGTTGGGGGCCAAACAGAAGACAGGAATTTGTGTTCAGAAGTTATTGCACACTTTCCTGTTGGTGTGTAATAATAAACCTGTGATCTCCAGTTTGGAAAAAAGGGTGGTCTGCTACTGAGCTAATGGAGCTGTTCCACTAGCTCAAGCCACCACTTAACTCAGTCTGTTACGCTCCCCATTAATCTGCTTGCTGTGAAAGAGCTTTTCAAAGTCATTGACAATCCACGTGTTTGAGAATCATGCCCAAAGTGACATTACTGTTTGACAGAAAAGGTATTGTTATAGGGGTTAATGTCCAAGGATATACATTACTATTCACTTTGTTACTAGTTAGGTTACATTTTTATAGGCTTATATCTTAACACTAAAAAATACCTTTACCTGGGAATTCTGAACCCTTCTTTGGAAGATATACTGTTTTATAATGGTTGAAAGCTTCCTATGTCATATGTATGTAAAAATAATGGCAGTCTTCATGTTCATAGAGAATCATATACTGAATTCCCAGTTTGAAAGTCTAAATATAACCTATAAAATAAATGAATCTCTCCAACAGGAACTAATTGTATAAAGAAGTAAAGATTATACAGTATTATGTCCAAAGTAAAGGACAAGGTTTTGCATAGGCATTTCTTGTACCCTCTGATTCAGATCTGACTTCAATAGGGGACGTAAAGGGAACTGGAGTTAGTACTTAAAGAGTGCTTGAAAGGCAGCAATCTGAGCTCTGTGACTTGGAAAATGAATTTTATTTCTTCCTCCCAAACTCTAATTTTAATGCTAAACTTCAGGAGTACCTCCATTTCAAGAGCTAAAGATTATGCATGATTTATTGTGTTGCTAAGTGTCTTCTGTTCTTTCCAGCTAAACAGACGCATTACTGACTCTGTTGATATAAGGCACACTTCCTGGAAAGTAAAAGGCAAGAGAGATTATTGCGGCAGTTCCTTCACTAATCGGGATAAAATGAAATCTGATGGATTAGGAGCATCTGGACATACATCAAGTACCAACAGAAACACTGCTAATAAGACTTCAAAACATGATGACTTAAAGGGAAAAGATAGTAAGAAAACAGTTTCCAAAATTACAAAAGATTCAAAAACTGGGGAAAAAGTTGCTTCACCAAAGGCTAGAGCTGTCATAAAGCCAAAAATAGAAAGTAATGGAAATGCTAAGGCTGAAAGCTTGATTACCAAACAAGATTCAGAAAGGTCATCATCTGCAAGTGGGCAAAAAAATTCTGGAAGTGGAAAAGGTGTAAAAAATCAGGAAGGAAAAAATTCAGGTGCCAGACCTAAAGTACTTACTGGAAGCCCAAGTGTGCAAATCAAAACAAAGCCATTGAAGAAAACCACAGGGAAAGACTCACCCTCTCTAGTAACAGAGACAGGAACTTTCAGCAAGTCAACAAACTCAAGTACAGATTTACAGATTTCCAATGAACAACTAGATGAACCCAAAGAGGATAAACCAGTAGATGAAGGAAAAATATATATCGGTAATTAGAGACCCTTTCTGACTTGCCACAGGCAGGTCATATGCTGGAAAACAGCCTGGAGAGTTCCAAAAGTTCTATTCTAGATGGTTATGACCCTGCACAAGCATATTTTTAAAATAAATATTACTTACAAAAAGTAATGCTAAAATGCCCATGTATTAATGGCTCTAACTCAAATGTTATGTGCTTTGAAAAAATATGTGCGTATACAAGACAGCACTATATAAATCTCAATTCTTCCAATTTTGGCATCTGTGCTGTTTTCAGTATCTGACCATTATACATTAATATTTCTTTTTAGGTATTTGTATATCATACATTTTATCCTATAACTAATCTTTAATTTTGCTTACAGCAATGAAAACAAAGTCTGTTTTGAAGTTGACTAATGGAGCTACTAACAAAAAAGCTAATGAACTTGAGACGAACGTTACAACAAATAGGTTTGTTGGAAATCAAAATATTACTTATTATATACTGGGTTTTTAATTGCTTGATTAAATGTAATTGTCATTTAATCAACATGTTTTTAAACCTAAGGATTTTTCAGAATAGTTTCTATTTCACATTGTTAGTGAGAAAGTAGAAATAACTACAGACAATATTCTTGTGAAGATAGCATTGTTTTGCCTCTGGGTTTGGGCTGTTTTGTTTATTTGTTATTTTAGCATTGTTACAGTAACTCTGCAGATCTGAACAATTATGTGACTGAATCATGGAAAGTGCTGAGAACTCCTACATAGCCTCTGAAATAGCTTAGATGAAGCTACAAAATCAGTGGAAGATGAGGAGTTAGTACCTTGGAGAAACGGGTCCCTAAATTATATTGTTTATTTTCAGGAAGAGGAAAATCATTTTACATGGCATATATTGTGCTTTCCATGTTAAACAATATAGAGTACTACTGATTATTTAAACAAGTTCATTTTTTAGATCTTAAACTTGCAAGTAATGCAAGCAGTATCTTTTTCTCTCATAGTGTGACCAAAAAAAACCACTGTGAAAGGATACAATGAACAAAGTCCACAAACTGTTTTGAAGAAAAAGGGAAATGTGAGTGGCAATTCTACAGCTCAGCAGAAGACAAAGAATGCACCAGCTAATGTTGCCAAAAACCAAGGTAGAATTAAATGGCACTAAACTAAAATCATATTTACTATTTGAATCATTTTGCTATAGTGTAACACAGATAAGGAATTTGTTATCAGACAATAGAAATGTTCTGACAATCTTGGTGTATTTCCCATATTTCATTTTTGCTGATAGACCTCAGATGTATTTTTCTGCTTGTTTAATTCTCATGAAGCTGGTGTATATTTATTTTTTAAAATCTGGCCAGCTATTGGGGAGAAACCCCTTCCCTAATATGCTTTGTAGCTCTTTTGTCCTCTGATGGTACCGTAAGTATTCTGCACCTAGAACTTCCATTAAGTTCAGTAGAAATTCTGTATCTGAAACAAATTCACAATACACATTTTTATTAAATGTTTGTATTTAAGATCATTTAATTGTTTAACAAATTTTAAAATTACTTGGTTGTCTAAAATATTTTTAATAATCTTTTACTTGACTTACATGCATCCAACGTATCAATAATATAATTCGCTGACTAGAATGTGTTTTGTTTACTTTATTTGTTAGGACCACAAGGAGATTCACAAAATTCATTAAAATCTGGAATGGCTCCGAAACAAAATGAAGGAAAAAACATGATGCAAAATTTTTCTCAGACAGCACTTTCAGAAAAACAACCTTCATCTAAGAAAAAGAGTATTAAACAATCACAAACATCTGCAGTTAAAGCCACTGCAAAAATAATAACACCACCCAAAAATCAAACCCATTCAAAGAAAGGTGAGACTATAAACAGTAAAGACCCAAAACAGAAAATAGTTACTGGGCAGCCTATATCAAAAGCTCAATCTTCAACACAAAGACATTCAAGAAGTGAATCTCCTGTTGTCCAGAAAAACGTGCATAGTCCTGAACAGAAAATTTCAGAACAGAAACTTGAACAACACACATTTGCTGCTTTTGCAATTCAGCCACACGACAATAACAAATGCAGCCCTGCAAAACAAAGTAAGTGTGAAAAATCTATGATAGAGTGTAGCAGAGGAGACCTACTCGTGGAATCATGGCAACCTGATCCAAGAAAATTATTGGATCCTCTTGAAAATGGGGAATACAAAGTAGAAACCAAACCTTTTTGTACTCTAGTTAGAGGACAAAATGTTCCTAAGCTGAATATTTCAATGCAAAACGACATGGAATCAAAACAGGTTTGTGAAGATGAAATTGAAATTAAATATCCAGTAGATAAAAACAAAGATGATGGTAATACAACTGAATTTAATTGTTATACAGAGCCTAGTAGAAATGCATACTCAGTCATTTGCAAGAATACTGGCCAAAAACTCCCTACTTCAGTTTCAGAAGAGAGATTGAAAAAGTGCAAAACTGTTTGTGATTCAGCTCAGAAATACTTGGGATATTCAGGAAACAGCAAAGTATGTTTAACACAAGCAATAGAAGACTGTGTGGGACAGAATGATACCTTAAACACTGAAATGGGCATTAATTATGGAGAGGATCACTTACCCAGCTTTTCTAAGGTAACAAATGCCTCTAATTCGGAACAAGATGAAAGAAAATCCTCTAAGACTCATGTAAAGGGATTTGCAAGTGCTGGTCAATTGTCTGATAAATCAGCCTTGACCGAATACAGGTCTGCTACAGTAGACTCTGATGCTGCTTCAAAATGTTTCACAGGACAGGTTACAGAAAAATGTTCACCTAAAGATATGGATACTACAGAAACACCAGAAAGCCATGAAAATTCAGAAACTCCCTTTGTGGATCGTTGGAATTTGAGTACAGGTGTGTTGGATCCAAAAGAGAGTCCTGAATCTGATACCGGCAGTGCAACAACATCTTCTGATGATATCAAACCAAGATCAGAAGACTATGATGCTGGAGGCTCTCAGGATGATGAAGGATCAAATGAGAGAGGGATTTCTAAATGTAGCACTATGTTGTGCCATGATTTTCTTGGAAGAAGCAGCAGTGATACAAGTACACCTGAAGAACTAAAAATCTATGACAGTAGTCTAAGAATAGAAGTGAAAATGAAAAAAGAGGGTTCGGATCTTTTTCGTGTTAATTCAACAAGTGATGATGAGATACCAAGAAAAAGACCTGAAGTGTGGTCACATCAAGGTGTATTAAGGGTCAATACTAGGGAAAATGAAAACACTACTTTTGGCAGCACACAATTTACTCAGGAAGCAGACCAAGTTTCCTCTTCTGCAGATGAAACGGAAGATGAAAGATCTGAAGCAGAAAATGTAGTAGAAAGCTTTCCTCCATCTGACCCTCCTACTCAGCCATTCCAAGGAATTGTTAATTTAGCTTTTGAAGATGCAACAGAGAATATTGAAAGTCAAGAATTTTCTACAACTAAAAATTTTAAGCGATCTCTTTTACTTTCAGTAGATGAATGTGAAGAGCTGGGATCTGATGATGGAGACGCTCATGCTCCCCTTCAGCATTCCATAGATTCCCCTACTCCTTCTGATGTTTTTGATAGTGTATCTCAGGAGCATCATGAAAAGACTTATTATTCAAGGTATTCATTGGAAACTGAAGATGGATTCCTGGAGTGCAAACAACAAGAAAAGGATAGAAGTGAGAGATTAGATAAAAGTGAGCACTTTTTTCTAGATCCCCATAGCCCAGAAATCAAAGGAAAAGATAATCAGGGTGCTTCAGTGACAGAACAAAATTGCCCAGAGAAAGTACTCTCAGTAGCAGATAGTCAGTGTTCAATAGAAGAGCAAAAGGTAAATAGTAAGAACGAAGAGATTAACGAAATTCAACAGTGCAATAAACTTTCAGACAATGACACAAAGTCTCAAGAAAGACCATGTCATTTGGACCTTCATCAAAGAGATACTAATTGTGACATGCAAAAGAAGAATTCTGCAAAACCTGTAAAACCCTGTAAGAATCAGTTACTGACTCTGGAAGGTCAAATGAGAGAGTGTCAACGAGCACCTACTGAATACACTAATACTGATTTACCTGCAGGTAATGTACAGAAATAGAAATGTTAAGTCCCTCAAAAAAATTAAATTAGTAGGCAGAATATTGGAAATGTTTTGTCTGGGGTCAAATCATGAACTCTAATAATTGGCTCAAATTTTTTAAACAAAACTTAAATGCTTTTAAGTATTTACTTGTTTACTGAATGCTTGTCCATTTTGGATACACATTAAATAACAATGTTTCAATGGAAAACTTGAATATTTATACTAGGCAAATCTATTCAGATAGATTTTATGCAGTACTAAAAAGAAAGATTGGGAACAATTCCTTGCATGCTAATTAATTTTCGTCCAATTTAACATTGTCAGCATCAGCTTTCGGTGGGAACTTTTGTATACGCTTTGTCTGCTTTACAACCTATATCATATATTTAAGTGGGATGTGCAATAACTACAGTAATAACCTTACTAAAGTGCACTGAACTGTTTACCTTAACAGCTATATTCATTACTTTTGCAATTTGTTGATACAATATATTTTACATGGAGATGTGGATGCTGATCCTTCTCCCACTGAATTCAGTGGGATATTTCCCATAGACTTCAATGGGAGCAGTTTTGGACCTAAGACTTGCAGTTTACAGGATTACTAAAATTGTTCTAAATTTTACCAGTGAAAACGGATTTCCTAAAGGAGAGATTATATTTGAACCAGTGATCATAAACAAAAAAGCTCTAGCTTGATTCACCTAGTTAGATGATTGATTGTCTAGATGTTTTATCTGTTTTGTCTTTTTAAACCAGTAATTCAAAGTATCCCATTATAAAATACACAGTAGTGTCTGAATATATTAACTATTGTATATTCAAGAGTAATGAAATGCTGATGATGATGACCTATGTTCAGCAGAACCACAGAAGAAGACCTTTTAAAAGTTGTACTATTTTTTTAAGTTTGCTTGTCCTTGCCTGCAGCTACCCTTATAATGTGTAGTATAAAATAAGCCTGTGAATAAGCCATTTTGTTTTTCCTTCTCTTTGGAGCTTACATCACCATTCAGTGATCATATATTCTTTTTCCCCCCCATTCCTTCCCACCCACCTCCTGTTCCAACTTTACGTTATTGTAGTGAATTAGAAATTCCATGTGCATTAATTGTCTGTTTACATAACTTGTCTTTTCTGTATCAGAAATGTTCTAATTATGAAGGTTTATTGTTAATTACCAGTGGTGACTGCTGCTCTAACTTAATTTGTAAACCAGACTTTGTTTGTTTTTGGGGGTTTTTTTTACACAGAAAATAAATGCCTACATTTTGTCAATTTTGTATAAATTTACATTTTTTGTTACTTGTTGGATTGTCTCTGCTGCAATGAGTTAAATTTTGCTCTACAAAGCCCTGAGGGGGGAACATGTGCAATTTTTACATTGTGTAGTATTATGAATTATTGCAGGAGACATAGATGATTGTGACGTATTGGCACAAACCTGCATGTATGAGCATCGACCTTCAAAAACCCTTTCTCCAATATATGAGATGGATGTTGGAGAAGCTATTGAGCAGAGGATGGAGTCAGAAAGGGACATTCTAGATGTGGATTTTGAAGATCAGCAATTTGCAGAACAGGACTGGACTCTTCTCAGGCAATTGTTATCTGAGCAGGACTCAAACATTGATTTCAAAAACTCTATTCCTGAAGACCTTAACTTAGCACAATATCTTATCAATCAGACACTACTTCTGGCAGGAGATGGTTCAAAGCCTCAGGGTAAATCACATGTTGATACTTTCAGTAGATGGACTGAACTAATGTCACCACTGGATGATTCTTCAGCAAGTATCACAGTGGCAAGCTTTTCCTCTGAAGATTGTTCTTCTCCTCAAGGGGAATGGACAATTCTTGAACTGGAAACCCATCATTAAAGTGATCAAATGTTTGAAAATGGACTCCACCCCCTACCCCAAATCTATTTTTTGATGCATTGTTTCCATACAATAATGAAATACTGCATCAGTTAAGAACACCCAATTCTTGATACTGAGGCAATCTTTCCAATATATTGAGGTGCATACTGTTAATTTATAACCTAGCTTTAATCACAAATAGAATAATTTTTCAAAGCTGAAATAGATGTTTTTCTAAAATCAACTTTGAGCATGTATTTTCTAAAATTGTTAGAAAAATTAGATGACTTGCAAGAAAAAATATTGGTTTAAACTCCATCTTCTGTCCCCTTTCTGTCATTTGTTAATATATTCTTTATTGAGCATGGATTTTAACATGTGACTGCACAATAAGTAGCGCCATTTTTTCCTTTTTGCTCTTCATACAGTGACTTGGTGATTTTTCAACAATAAAAGATTGAGAGTTGTGTTGAAAGGTGTTGTGTTCCAACAGTACTTTAAATATTAGAAATTTATATTTGCATTTACAGAATGTAAAAAGTTTTGGACTCTATTTACATAAGCTGCTTATTCAGTTTGTTTCCACCGGATTGATTTTGTATATTTTTGTTTGTTTTGAAAATTTTCAATAATTGTTTTTAAATTGTCATTTATTTAAATACAAGACTGCAGAGGTACTGTAAGAATGGTACAGTTCCTCTCTTGGGAACACAAATACATTCCCTTACTTCAGGAAATAATGGCATGGTGTATGAATCAGAATGTTAAACCTGTTCTGAAATACTGTGTCTAACAGCTCAAAAAGTAGATTCAGTCTGAAGTTTTAGCAGTGGCACTCTTGCCTTCTTCACTTTAAAAGTCCATGTTTGAAGTGGAATTTTAGTTGTGCTACAACTCAAGATACTTTTGTGCCACTCCCCTACTGTCTAAGTCATAACTAGTTTATTGGGGTTTTCAAAATCCCAGTGTGTCTTCTATCTTTGAGAGGGTGTTAGGGTTTTTGCTGTCTCTTTTTAATCTCATAATGCCTCTAAAAACTTCCTTAAAGAGGCCCAGTGTCTCATCCTCTTGATTAAGGAGAACTGAGAAGGAAATGCTTCTCACCATGTTTGCTCTGCTCATTCTGCTGCTAAAGAAGATGGCAGTTAAATGACATGAGCAGGGTTTTTTGTTGTTGTTTTTGGGGATGTGGGTTAATAAGGGGGATACTTTCCAGGTGAGGGATATTGGACCATATTCTTCATGCCATACTGAGGCAAAACGCAGCAATAAGGGATGGTCTTATGTAAACTATACAATATTGCTTCTGCAGATCCCCTCCTGTTAATGACCAACAGGAGATGTGCCTTCAAATGGGAGTGCTACACTGCAGTAACAAATTACTAAAATGGTGATATTTTAAAAAAAGACTTTTTTACCAAAAGCCTAACTTGCACTGGTTACAGCCAAGGATAATACAGGCGGGTGTTTTGCAAACTTTTGCACAATTCTGCCAATGCACCTTAATCCTGGTCTGCAGGTATTCCTGTTATCTTGATCCTATGCTATTTATAAGCAGAGACTGACAGGAGTCTTGAATTGTGAAGTCGCTTTGAGATGTGGCTAAGCAGTGACTGCTGAACTAACTTTCACTTTTGACCTAATCAGCATTTTGATCTCAGAACTCATGACTTGGAAAGGCTGCTATACACTGACTTGAGTGTCTGTCAATACAATCAACATTTTATTGAAGCAGAATTATAAATTGGTAGAGGAAGAATTTTACCTTCTAAATAGAGGTTAAAGGAAAGATATTAATCTCCCCTTCATGTCTGTGCCCATGATCCTTAGAAGGGAGTTCAGTCTTGGCTGCATGCCCATCCCCAGCTTTCTTATAGAGGATTCTCCCCAAGGGTTCCTGTGAGGAGGCTAGGGCCATTAGTTGGACTCCTGGATATCCTATCCTAAACCCACAAAGGAAGCAGCATAAATTAATACAGCCTGAGTTTGTACAAGCTCAGCATCTTACCCATTGTAGTCTGTATTTGCTACGTTATCCACATTTGGTGGATGCGGGAGGGGAGATTGCTGCAGCTAGGGGAACTCCCAAAAGCAAATCTCCTCCAAGATCAGGAGACTCCATTTACGTGCTCCAGTTCTGAGAGGAGCACAGATATTGAAGAATCTGTGGGATAAGGGAAAGCCACCATTGTCTTCTATAGAGGGGTTCAAAGAACTCAAAATAGAGAGAACACAAGTTTCTCACCCCAAACATGGTTATTCCCGTGTAGGAGACAATAAGGACCATGGAAGGTATAAAATAAAAACATGTAATGAACTCTAAATTGATGAAGGCACAAGAGGGTATTAATTTTTACACAAAGTAATATGGGAGAAGAAAAGGTAAAAGATCAGAAGAGTAGACAGAGAATGAAAGAGAAGGATCCTTCTGCGCTCTCTCCCCTTTCCTTTATATTTTCTTGTTTTCTTCAAGTGCAGCTCATATCTGAAAAGTGACTGAAAAATGACATGTTTCCCTGTTTGTGTGTCTGACTCACAGATCAAATATGTTTGTTACAGTTAAAATGATGCGGATTTTTTGTTTTGTTTTCTTCTGAATACCAGCTCTCATTTTTCAGGCTAGAATTTGAAAGTCAACCTGTGTTATTTTCTCAGGTCCTCAGTAATATAGCTACAACTTCTTCAATGGATTGGAACAGGTGTAACTAAGTGGAATTTAGTAAAAATTTTGTCGATGCACAAGAAATAATAGAATCCAGCTCTCTCTCAGCCATGTTGGCTCTGCAAAGCCAATAGGAGTAAAAAGTAGTAATATTATTCATTATCTGTATTGCCAAAGTGCCTAGGAGCCCTAGTGAAGGACCAGGACCCCGTTGCACTAGGTCTTTTACAAACACAGAACTAAAAGATAGATTGTAAGTTCTTTGGGGTACAGACTAAGTAAGACAAAAGACAACAGATTAATATAGATGGGAATACAAGAAAATGATGAGAGCAGATAAGAAACTTCTGTCTCTGTGACGGGAGGAGGGAGAGAATTGTAGGAGGAGAAGAGGAAAGGGAAGGTAAACCAAGGGGATGGGGAAAGTCACGTTGTATTTTGTCAACTTTTTCTTGGAAGAACTTACCCTAGCATCTAACAATTACAATAAAGTCAGCAGATATGGCTGTGATGCTCACAGGGAATAGATCTGTTGAGTAAGAAGGTCCTCCTTATAAGTGCTTTGGAGGCAATTGGTAAAGAAAAGCAATACTGATGCTGTCCAAGAAATATGTCCATCTGCAAGATGGCAGTTCTGGCCAGCATGAAGCCTGGCTGTACATCTTGAATAACTGTGGACTATATTTCTATTTTTGAACTCTGCTTCAAAGTGGCACTGAATTTTTTGAAATGCCATAATTCTGTTTTCCACTGCCTCTACCTGAAGATTGAGTCCAGGATCTGGCCCCTTAACCTTCCTGGAAGAAGTGTTAACTTCTTCCAGGAAATACAAACAGTAAATTAAAAAGCTGTTCTAGCTACATATTGCTGGTGGCATAGACTATTTTAAACCTTTGATACCATGTTATTGCCATCTGGCAATTCATTACCAACATGCTTACTGCATTTTGTCCCAAAAAATCTAAACCCTCTGTTTGAAGGTGTTAAGACTTATTACTGTGTCTTTCAGCATCGTCTGCCATGGAACATAAACAATTAAGAAGGCACAATCTTGCTCCCATTAATGTCAAAGGTAAAACTCCTGTTGATCTCAGTTGGAGTAGGTTCAGGGTCTATGTGACTAAAGTGCATGTAGTATAAATGCTATTTTTTTTTCAGTACATGTACTGTTTAGTTCTATATCTCTAGTCTGCTAACTTCTAATATTTTAGATGTAGGGATGATTTATGGTAAAAAAAAATTAACCAAGTATAATTGTGTGTATTATACTAATATTCATGATTGGATTATTCACTATTCTACCTTGGTATATCATGCTCTTTCCAGCACTAAGCAGAACTGAAGACAAAAAAAAATAAAATACAGGAATTCAGGGCAGGTGGCTCTGTAACAAAGCTGGTGGTGACTACACAGGACTAGAGGTGGGAAATGGGCTTTTAAAATGACATCCATTATGACTAGAAGTTTTTATCTCTTTCAGAAATTTTGTAACTGTTTTCATTAATCTGTTGTTGATGACAAGCTGTAGTGGAGGATTCTACAGCAGAATTAGAAACACTGCTGTTTAACTGCAAAAAATTCTATACCTATTTAAGTTGGTATCCAGATGCTGGCCAGGGGGGTGTATTTCAGGGAGCTGAACTTGGTGCACTGGGAAATGAACTTCTTTAGAGGCATAATCAACTTAAAAACTAAAAACAAACAAAAAACCCACTTCCATCTGAAATGCTTTTCCTACTGTTATTACTTGTGATTACTAATAATTGAAAGAGACTGGAACAGAAACTACAACTCTTTTGATCTTTCATTTGACAGACCTCTGTATACATTGTTTCACAGTTTCCTCTGTGTAGTCAGGCCACCATCTTGCAAATGTTGTGTGCCTATGTGCCTATGTTTGAACTACTTGTATGAGTGAAGTTAGGTACATTAAGTATTTGCATGATTGGGCCCTTAGTCATTTCTCTGTGTTTTTCTTTCATCTGTTGTGTACAAGAATTGCACAAACATGTTTTAAACTTCATGAAGTGTTTGTAAAATCACAGAAATGGGCAGGGGAACTCAAAAGTAGGTGTAATACCTGAAACTATTTTTAATTCCCAAGAGGATCCTGATTGGACTCTCTTGGTGCCATGATAGTATAAATCATAGAATATCCGGGTTGGAAGGGACCTCAGGAGGTCATCTAGTCCAACCCCCTGCTCAAAGCAGGACCAATCCCCAGACAGATTTTTGCCCCAGATCCCTAAATGGTCCCCTCAAGGATTGAACTCACAACCCTGGGTTTAGGAGGCCAATGCTCAAACCACTGAGCTATCCCTTCTCTCCTCCCTCCAATATTAATAATAATGCAACTATATGCTGTTTTCTTGCTCTCCCTGGTTACTGCACAGACGTTCCCAGGTAAGAAATCTGCCTCAACATGTGATCCTATTGGTACTTCAATTGTAAATTCAAAGCTGTAAGAAATGTAACTTGAAGGCAAGTGGGAAGTTTGAATTACAACAAGGATAGAAATGTTTTCAGATTCTATTTCCATTCCACTTTAAAATATAAATATAGTCTTGCAGCTCTTAAAAAAAAAAAACTCAGGCCTCAATTATTCAAGGGTTTTGTACTATGCCCAGTAAGATTCTTACTTTTGATATAAGTGGTCAAAATAGTTTGTGTTAACTTCAAAAAAAAAAATCTGGCACCCATCTCCATATTTAGGCACCTGAGTGACCTTATTTTTTTCAGAAATTTTGAGCCTTTGCAGCTCCCATTAAAAATCTGGCCATTTTTATGTAAGTGCCTACATATGGAGATGGATGTTTAACTTCAAGAATCCAAAATGAAACTTTTAGCCAGTATTGCTTCAAATTTTTGTTTCACTTTCACTATATGATTCATTCCATAACACTGAGTTTGGCAAAGCTGTGCCTGAGCGCTGTTTAATGTATTATATCACGTCAAGACTCCAGCCCTCTAGTGCCCTTTCACTGTTTTATATTGGTAGGGCAAATCAGGGCCACCCAGAGGGGGCGGGGGGCAATTTGCCCTGGGCCCCTCAGGGGCCTCCACGAGAATATACTATTCTATAGTATTGCAACTTTTTTTTATGGAAGGGGCCCCTGAAATTGCTTTGCCCCAGGCCCCCTGAATCCTCTGGGCAGCCCTGGGGCAAATATAGGATTGTCAGACTTGTGCTAGAATATTTAATAAGATCCATTTTGTTTATAAATCTGAGAGTAGTATGCTATTCTGACTCAGTACAATATCATCAGTGTACATAACACTGATATGTCAGAGACAGGCCAATGTGTACATCAGATCCAATGTAGCAGTGTAAAAATCTCTATATAGTTTATATTTCATACAATCTTAAAATAACTATCAATTTAACCAGCAGTCATATCATGCTCAGATCCCATAAATTACTTATGTGGCAGACCGACTCATCTGAGTGTCAGACCTTCCTACCTTCCACTAATCTACTTTTTAAAAACAAAAAACTGTGGAATAAAAAACTTTAATCCCCATTTTCTGGACTGTCATGCTCTAGATCCTAGGATGTATTACGAGAGAAGGTACAGTTTCACTTCCAGCAATCCATGGTTTTAGGGTCCTAAAATATCTGCTCACTCGGTGGTTTAGAGTTGTTTGTTTTTTAAGCTATCAAACTGAAAACTTGCATGTTTTCTACCTGTTTACTTTTTAAACATTTTAGCCCACATTGTGATCTTAGGGATAAGTAACTAGCTGCATTTCCAAATGATGAATAGTGAACATGCACTTCTGTTTCTAAAATTGCTGTACAGTTGCTTAGTCCTACAAGCTTTCTCCGTTTATGTATAAAATGGAAAATAATAAACCCATTATGTAACTGAAATGCTGAGTCTTTGTAATCCATTGCATGTGGAGTGTGGCAGAACTCCTTTCTCCACCTTGGTGGGTTTCACACTTCCTCTTAGTGGGGGTTTGGGGGATTCCTCTCTCCCTTGGAATTTCCCCACACCCTGGGTTTACTGTCCCGCTCCTTGTCTGAGCAGGGGTTCCTCTCAGCCTCCCTGACAGGGGAGGGGGAGGAGAGCCTCTTAGTCTCTGGTAGCTCCTCCAGGCGTAGTGGCAGCAGGCCAGGCAACCAGTTAAGTCTCTCCCCTCAGGCAGGGTCTCTTCTCCCCAAACCTTTGGGTCCCAGAAGGGATATACGCCCTGTTGGGCAGGGTTTCCCCTGCTCTTCACCTCTGTACCTGTGAGGTCTGTCTCCTGGCATTTGTCAGTGTCTGCACCGTCCGGCTCTCCAGTAGCACACCTGCCCCCCACAGCTCTTATTGCATGCCCCTATCTGACTTGAGAGGAGGCTTTTAACAGGTTCTGGCAGGCCCTTGATTGGCCCAGGTGTCCTAATTTAAGCTGGAGTAATCCCTGTTCAATTACCATGGGAACAGGGACCTGCTTATCCTGGGGCTAATATACCTGCCTTCTATGGCAGCTCTTTTATCTCCATCCGAGAGGTCTTCCGCGAGACCTCTCCGAGCTGCCGGTCTTCTACCAGGATCTCCTCCGGGCCTGGAAGCTGGTCTCGGTGACCAGGTCCGTGGCGGCCACTGAGGGGGCAGATCTCCTCGTGAAGCCCCTGCTATACAAACTTCATCTTCGTGTGCAGATGGCAGAGCTGCCCTCGGTGTGCCAGAGGTTGGTCCTGGCGGAAGTTACCAGGATCAGAGACCTCATGGACTACGACCGGGGGACCGGGTGATCCCTATGCGCTCGGCTGGCGCTTGGGGCTCTCCGCCCTTAGTACACACACACACCCCCAGCGCGTACTTTGGGAGGTGAAGACAGCCTTATTGCCCACTTCTTGGTTTTATCTCGAGTGGGTCCTGCGAGAGGGTATCCTCGCCCACCCGTCACCCACAGTCTCTCCGGATCTCTTCATCAGGCCCCTGCCCCATGAGCCCCCTCAGCCCCCACCCCTTTGTACCCCAAGCCATCTGTGCGATTTGTAGACAGTTTGCTTCTGAACTGCACCACAGGACCATCTCTGCACACTCGTGCTCCACACTCTTCATTTCCCCACCCTCGTGTCCTGCCCCGATACCAAGTGGTGTGACCTTCTGTAAGCTGCAGAGGGTGAGGGACCCCGGTGGACCAGCCTGTATTCCACCTTGTTTCCATGGCCCGTCAGGGACATTAGTTGGCAGCTCCTTCATGGAGCTGTGAGCGCGGGCATGTACTTGGCATGGTTCACCCCTCTTCCCGATGCCTGCCCTTTTTACGGTGTGCGGGAGACTCTAGCACATTTCTATCTGCAGTGCACCAGGTTGCAGCCCCTCTTCCGACTCCTCCAGAACCTCTTGTTTAGGTTCTGGCTGCACTTTTCCCTGCACCTTTTTATATATGCACACCCCATCTGTGGCCCCACAAAGTCGCGGGACCACCTTGTCAACCTTCTCCTAGCCATGGCCAAAGTGGCCATTTATAAGACCAGGAGAGAATGTTGGCTGAGGGGGTTTCCTGTGATTGTGGGGCCTATTTCTGATCCTGCCTTTGCTCACATATCCGGGCAGAGTTCCTCTGGGCAGCATCCGCTGGCTCCCTTGACACCTTTTGAGGAGCAGTGGCCGCTGTCCGGGGTTCTCTGCTCGGTGTCTTCAGGTTCCCTTTGTTTGACCCTTTGATCTTCACACCTGTCCCTGTTATATTTTTGGTTGTTCCTCATAATTATTTGAGTTCCTGGACCTTGTGGATCCTCCCCACAGGCTGGGGCAAGATCCTTTAGCAGTGGGCATGCTTATACCCACCCACTTCCCAGAACCCAACATGAAATCACTCTCCTATAGCTGTCTGACCTGACCCTGTCACAGGGGGTAACATGAAAGGATAGCTGGAACCACTGTCCTCACTTCTTTTTCTATTGCTGAACAGTATAATTTTCCTCCTTTTTCAGCTGATTTGTGGCCCATGAGTTGCCTTGTTCTTCTGTAAAGGGAAGCACCACCATTTCCTGGGTGCTCATTTTCTGTATCATCAGGGAATAGGGTAGCAGAGGCTGTGCAAAGACAAGTGGTCAGTTTTCCTGTGAAAATCTATAGGAGATGGAGCTGAGAGAGACTGTGCCTACCCCAAGAGTCCAATATCAAGAAATGGTGCCTACACCAGAGCAGGTGAGAACTGGCCTGGGGATTGAGAAAGCACTGCTATTGGGAGTATCTTGACTAATTAGTGCAAAGCCATTGAATCTAATTTATCTAATCATTTATAACATGATCATCACTATCATAGCTGAGAGTAGTAGCTCCAAGAGCCCTTTGACAGAAGTAGAAAGGGGTTCTTAGCTCTGTTCCTAGAGATTTGATCAGTAGCCAGGCATGAACCTGCTCTCTCCTCCACTACAGCCTTCCCTAAATGGGGGAATCCAACCTGATGGGTGAGAGGCTGGAACTGGTGAGAGATACAAACTGGCACAATGTCAAAAAGCCTCCAAGAGCAGAGCCAAGAGTTACCAATAAAATGACTATCTGCACTTCAGGGTTTGTGTCCAATTATTCTCTGTAAAGGGAAGCTTAAAATTTTTCCCAAACCAGTTTTCTTTTCACTTGTCTAATTGACAGTGTGAGTCTGTTCAGAGGAACCAGTCAGTGTATGCCTCTGTTAAATCCACAAGTTTCAGAGTCCACAACCTTAGTTGAACTGCAGCTCCTCAAATGACTTCAGATGCACATCTTGAAATCTCTTCCTAATCTGCTGGTACATTCCATTCAGAACATGGTGCATTTTCCACCCTCGTAAAACACCCAAATCGGTCTACAAAGTTCAGTGAGAGTTGAACATTTGTTCTCTAAACATTCACATTTGTGCTTTTTCCTGTGTTCTAAGGAGTAGGCCCCACAAGCAATGCAGTTCTGATGGGCAAGTGAGGCAAGATTTGGGTGTGCCTTGCGTGTTCCTGAAGGCTTGGGGTTCAAGGAAGGAGCTGGATTAAGGGCAGTGAAGCCACCATTGTCTGGATCAAATAGCAATTGCCCTTTCTTCTCTCCTGCATAGTAAGGCTCAGGAGTAGCAAGGGCTACAGTAGTCTCAGGACTACAACAGTCAAGAAGTGGCTCTGCAAACTGGAGGGAATGAAGGACTGCTCCTCTCTTTACCCTTTGCATTGCTCCCATCCTCTCACATCAAGCCTGGCCACGCAGGCTTGGCATAGGTATGATGTGGGGAAGAATTTAGGCCCAAAGTACTAATTATCACTTGATTCCTCAAAACCAATTTTGGCATGTGGTCTATAATACTTTGCTCTCATTTCAGTTGTTGGGTTTAGTTTTTGTGTGTGGGTGCTGGGTGGTGTTGGTTGCCTGTGATATACGGAAGGGCCAATTAGATATTCTAGTGGTCCCTTCTGGCCTTAAACTCTGACTCTTGGGCAATGTACTAGAAGCATGTGAGGCTATCAGGACAGGTAACAGCCTTCTTGAGGCCTTCACTGTCCAGGATAGTCCCATTTCCTTTGTCTGAGTCTCTGTTTGTCCTTTACCATATCCTGTTTATCCTTTACCATATCACTAAATTAGTGCAAATATGTCCTCCACCCAATACTCAAACCCAGTTGCAAGTCAATGTTTAAATGTGCCATTTGTATCTCTCATGTCTGCATGGGTTTAATATATATTTCATGGGAGGGGTTAATTTAATACCCTGTTTCCCCGAAAATAAGACAGTGTCTTATATTAATTTTTGCTCCCAAAGATGCGCTAGGTCTTATTTTCAGGGGATGTCTTATTTTTCAATGAAGAAGAATACGGTACACATTTTTTTGCCTTATTATCGGGGAGGTCTTATTATCGGGGGGATGCCTTATATTACAACGAGAGGCAAAACTGTAAGTAGGCCTTATTTTCGGAGGATGTCTTATTTTCGGGGAAACAGGGTAGTTGCATCCAGGGAACTGCAGTGTTATACTTTTTAGTATGTCAACAAATACTGATCCTTTCATCACACAGAGCTTATGTATTTTTCTAAACTGACTGGCCCGCTCATTTTTAGATTGATAATGCAGGCAATACCCTTGGCTATTTTGTAGTTTGTGCTGCCATGGTTTACATATAATACAGTACAGCTGCTGAGGACTGTCACATTTTGACAATTTTGAGCAATTTTCTGTCCCTTCTGAAGGCTTCCTAGAGGTTTATCTGAGATGAGTTGCAATCTAGTTCCCCAAATCAATAAAATCTCAATCTGCCCTACTGACTCAATTGGACTCTTAAATCCTAAACAGTATCTTTAATAATCTAGTGTAGGCATTTTAGCAATGTTCTCTCTCAGGAATACTGATACTGCTGAAGTGTGACATAGGATTGATTATTTGCTAGTATGTTTTGCTTTCTCGCTTAGCCGGTTGTGAAACTGAATATTTTTATGTAGTTATTTATTTACTTTCGTCAGTGGCTTGTATCCCCAGAGTAAAAAGGTGGTGTCTGAAATGTAAACTTTAGCAAGATGTATCCAGTATCTTTGTGCTAAAAGCTACTAGAAAGCTAAATTTCTAAATCTAAATAATAACACTAACCTGGGGCCAGATACGGCAATGCTTACATAAGTACTGCACATTTACATTAAAAAAAAAATCTAGTTCCCTTAACTTGAAGTCTTGCTTCAAGTTAAGTAAAATTATGTATAGATATCTTGCTTCAAGTTAAGTAAAATTATGTATAGATATCATGGTAAAGGGGCTTTAGAGGAAACTTAGATAAGATCTTGAGTGTAATCCTTATTCTTTTCACTAATAAATACAAGAATCTGCCCCCAGACTCAGTTGAAAATATTTTTGTGAAAACCTGTATCTAGTTTTGACCTGAAAAAATTCAGTTCCTCTTGGGTGCTGAGATGAAAGGC